ATACTCATTTTGGATTTAATTTGCTCATTTTCTAGCTTCTTAGATCTTTCTTTTCTAATAAGAAGAGTTCCAGAGTTAAGAGAGAAGTCTTCTCATATTAGTAAATATCCAACATTGTAAGCACTGCTCTAAGTACCGCTTCTGCTGCATTCCCAGATTTTGGATATTTTTATTTTCAACTATTTGTTTTTGACTCATATATTATGTAAAAACATATCTTAAATTTCTTAGTATTTTGGAATTCTCTGCTATTGCATTTGTTTAATTCTAGTGACCTATGAGTATACTTTGTATGAATTTGACTCGTTCATGTTTGTTATGGCCCAGGATATGGTTTATTATTTTTTAATATGATTTATCAGGATATGGTTTATCTTGGCAAATAGCCTTTGTGACCTCGAGAAGAATGTGTATTCTGCTGTTTTTCTATATACGGGAACTTCACTAAGTTCATAGGAAAATTTCATTATCTTTCAATGTAGTTTTTCTAAAATCTGTTGGAAATTTACTCATATTTTATGTCATTAGATCAATTAAATTCATGGTGTTCGACTGTAGCCTTCCTGATTTTTCACCTTCTGAGGCTGTATTGGTAGTGTTGAAGTCTCTTACTGTAATAGTGGATTTGTCTATCTTTCCTCGTAGTTCGAGCAGATGTTGCCTCATGCATTTTGATGCTGTTCGGTATCTTGACTATGGTGACTACACAAATCTACCCATGAATAAGTGCTTAAACAAGCGGCCATACAGCCCACAGGCAACAAAGCCCACATGGAAGAGGCACACCAGCCTGTGTGACCACGAGCTGTCAAAGGGATCAGCTATCAAGCATCAAAGAACAAAAAAATCAGTGTAAATGTGGTGAGTGCAGAGTGGAGACTCAATGTCCATCGGTAGGCAACTGGACATCCCCTTACTGAAGGGTTGTGGGGAGGAGACGAACCAATCAGGGTGCAGGCTAGCAACGATGAAACATGTAACTTTCCTCTAGTTTTTGAATGCTCCCCCACCCCCACTATCATGATCCCAATTCTACCTTACAAATCTGGCTAGACCAGAGGATGTACATTGCTACAGATAGCAACTGGAAATACAGGGAATCCAGGACAGATGACTCCTTCAGGACCAGTGGTGAGAGTGGCGAGGCCTGGAGGGTGGAGGGAATGTGGGGTAGAATGGGGGAACCGATTACAAGAATCTACGTATGGCCTCCTCCCTGGGGGATGGACAGCAGAGAAGAGGGAGGGGGAGATGTCAGACAGTGTAACATATGACAAAATAATAATTTATGAATTATGAAGGGTTTATGAGGGAGGGGGGAGGGGGGGAAATGAGCAGCCAATATTAAGGGCTCAAGTGGAGGGCAAATGTTTTGAGGATGGCAACAAATGTACATGTGTGCCTGACACAATGGATGTATGTATGGACTGTGATAAGAATTGTATGAGCCCCCAATATAATGATTTAAAAAAAAAAAGAAAATGTGCTTAGAACGAATTGTTCCCCATCCCCTGCCCCTCCCACACACCAGTGCGAGAGCATGTTAAACTGGTGAAGCTGAATAAGACCAGTGTTTTCTTTCTATCAATGGCAATTTCACATTGTGATCCCGAATTATAGTTGGCAAGAAGTCACCCTTGGGAAAGTTAGGTGAAGGGAACATGAGATCTGCAGTATTTTTAAATAATTTCATAGCAATTTACAATTTTCTCAGAAATCATTTAAAGAAAAATTATATAGTAAGTATTAAGTGTCCATGACTTAGTCCTGGTATTTTTAGGGGAGAAGGCCTAATATTTACCTCTAAACAAGCTCTTATATATACTACTGACTAGGTTCTACACACACCACCACCAAATGCCCTGAAGTCACTTCTGACAAACAGTGACCCTACCGGACAGAGTGCAACTGAGCCCCCTATGGTTTCTGAGACTGCACATCTGCACAGGAGGAGACAGCCCATTTTTCTCCCTCAGAGCAGCTTGTGGAGTTGAAGTACTACACACACTTTCAGTCAGTAACCCAACACATCACCCACAAGGCCACCAGGGCTTCTGGCTAGGTCTACAATTATGTTTGTAAAAAAATGGAATTAAAAGATAATAGTTTTCACCCCAAAATTTTGAAACCTTTTTGAATCTACATTTGTAAAAAAATTTCTTACAGAAAACTTTAAATAGGCACATAATAAAAAACAAACACACAAAAAAAACCCAATACCTTGAACCACTATGTGCCTACATATAAATCTAACAACTATTAAATCATAACAAATCTTGTTTTATCTAGACTCACACATTCCCGCTCTTCCCCTCATGTTATTTTGAAGTCTATGATAGAAGGTGCTTGTGGAGAACTGGTACCATAGTTAACACATAAACCATCTCAGTGGGCATATATTCTTTTAAAGCTAAGGAGCTTAAATATAGCATGCATTTTTCTGAAGTCTTCAGAAAGAGGATTTACTGCTGATGAAAATTTCACCTGGTTATTCAAGGTTATTCAATCTGGTTTCTCTTTGTCTACTGATCGGCCTTTCAAACAAAATGAAGGTGCTACAAAGCTCAGATATCAACGGGCACTTTTTTTTATGGTAATCGCCATGTACTGCAACTATCAGCACAATGGAAGGCAGGGTTAGCAGAATGCTTGTCGCTAGAAAAGGTCGCCAGTCTCTGTGCAGTTGGCATGAACTGGTTGGCTGCCTTTCTGAGTGTACCATTTACTGACTGCAGCTAATTAAACTCTCCTGTCTTATTTCCTTCAGTTCTATTTTCAGTAACCGTTTGTGTATCTCTAGAAGTAAAACAGAGAAATTTACAACCTGCTGAGTAGCACTACTGCCTTTAATATTTCCCCCCAGTTAAAATGTTCTGAAATACAGACGACAGGAAAAATCATCTCATTTTTTTAAGTCATCTCATTCTTTTGAGGTTATTTACTTCAAAAATACAGTCAAATTTTCTTAAACTGAAAACATATTTGAATTTTAATCCTCATACAATTCACAGAAAAGAAAACATAAATAGCTCAAATACACACCCAATCTTATTAAAATTGCTGGGGAGGGGAGGTGGAGAAAGCGGGAACCCATCACAAGGTTGGATAGAGAGCCCACCCCCCAGGGAGACGAATAACAGACGTGGGTGAAGGGAGACAACAGACAGTGTAAGACATGAAATAACAACAATATACAATTGATCTGCGAGGGTGGGGGAGGGAGGGGGGAAAAAGCTGATATGAAGGGCTCAAGTAAAAAAAAATGTTTTGGAAATGTTGACGGCAACATATGAACAAGTGTGCTCAATACAATTTAATGATGGATTGTTATAAAATTTTAAAGAGCCCCTCAATAAAATGATTTTTTTTTAAATGCTCTGAAAAGAAAATACCAAATTTCAACTCAAAGATTAGCAAAGATCAAGACGTTAGATAACAGTGGTAAAGATTCCTGGGAGTATAGATAGAAAGCAATTTGTCTATATCTATCAAAAACAAAGATATAAATCTTCTGATCTAGTAATTCAAATCTTTGAATTTATCTTATAGAAATTCACTCATGCATACCAAAATTCATTCATGTATACAGTTATTAAAGACAGCATTACTTATAATAGCAAAAAATTATAATACCCTCTGTCAGTAGCGACTGATCAAAAACATTATGGTCCATTCACACAACACAATCTTCTGCACGGAGCCCTCAAGACTCTGGCCCCTCGACACTTTTGAAACTAGGAACTGAACTAACTCCTCAAGATTTCCTTTCATCAAAACAACGGACAAGTCTACAAAGTGAACCATTACACTCATGAGGAATGTGCTTCTCTGAATAATCATGAGATCAAAAGGATGGCATTTACCCAAGTTTCTGTGGCAGGAAGGGCAGGGACGGTGGAGGAATGGCCGTAGGGGACTGAGGGGATAATGGCGAGTGCTGCTACACTGAGGAGGGTGTAACTGATGTCAAGAAATACATGTGTATAAATTGTTAAATGGGAAACAAATTTACCAACTTTTCATCTAAATCACAGTAAAATGCTAACGTAAAGACAAAAGCATGCAGTCGTAAACAAAAAATAATTAAGTATTCATGTACTTATATGAGATGATCTCAAAAATATCATTTTAAAAGAATAAGCAGGAAAACTGTGTGCACTGTGGAGTATCATATACATAAACTATAACTGATAACATCCCAAGGAAGGAAACTCTAGGTGCTAATAGTGGGAAGAAGGCTTTTCACTGTACATCTTTATGCCATGAATTTTGAAACATATGTTACAGGTTTTGTTGGAAACTGCTTTTATTTCAACAGTTTTATTAGCACTTCAACCACGTCATACAACTCATTAATTCAATCATATCATCATATCAAGAAGAGTTGTATAATTATCACCACAATTAAAATACAACTTTCCTCTAGTTCCTAAATGCCACCCCCCCACCACCAGCATGATCCGAATTCTACCTTGCAAGTCTGGCTAGACCAGAGGATGTATACTGGTACAGATGGGAACTGGAAACACAGGGAATCCAGGGCGGATGATCCCGTCAGGACCAGTGGTGTGAATGGCAATACTGGGAGGGTAGAGGGAGAGTGGATTGGAAAGGGGGAACCAACGTTGGACAGGGCAAGATATGACAAAATAATAATTTATAAATTATCAAGGGCTCATGAGGGAGAGGGGAGCGGGGAGGGAAGGGAAAAATGAGGACATAGTGCTGGGGGCTTAAGTGGAGAGGAAATGTTTTGAGAATGATGAGGGCAGTGAATGTACAAATGTGCTTTACACAATTGATGTATGTATGGATTGTGGTAAGAGTTGTATGAGACCCTAATAAAACAATGAAAAAAAAGAATTATACCACAATCAATTCTAGAACATCTTTGTTTTCCTCATATTCACTGTTAATCATGTAATTTTTTTTTCTAACCGTGGCCAAAATATACACAACAAAACATTGTCCAATTAAAAAACGGCTTTTCTTAGACCACATCCAAAAATATTTATTTATTTATAATTGGGAGTTCAATCCCAGCAAACAGTATTGTACAATTGCTAGCACAATCAGTTTCCCAACATTCCTTCACATCATTTCCCTTTTCTTAAGAGAACATTTTTGAATAAAAACACTGCTCCAACAGAAACACAAGCTTGAATTAAAATGAGCAAGCATCACATCTCTTTCAGCTGACCGACAAACTTTTCAGAAATCCCAGTGAGCCTTTCAGGCTCCATCAGGTTGTTCACCAGTTCCTGCTCAACAGCCATTAAGGCCAGGCCGCTCCGCCGCTCCTGTCCTGTGCTGTGACACAAAAACATCTTAAGGCGGGGCAGGACAGAAAATGAACTTTTATCACTTGCTGAAGTTATTGGCCAAGACAAAGCAATATGTAATAGCTGTGAGATACCAGGAATATTATTGTAAAGACCATGTTGAATAAATAAATAGCCAAGATTCATGAAGTCGATGTACTCATAATCCACGACAAAGTTGAGCTTTGCGTAGTGTCGATAAAACCTAAGTTCTGGGACAATATCTGTATCAAGCTTATAAAATTCTTGAACGTGTCTGGCTGTTGTTTCATTTAGTGGCTCATTCCATTTAAATAGTAGTTCTGAAATTTCCTTTATTTTGCAATAATCAAACTCTGAAAAATATAATTTTAAATTTTGCAATATAGTATCTAATCCTTGGTAATAAATATTAGTTTTATACTGCTCTTCAGTTGAAGTAGAAAATATCCTATCTGAATCACTCTGATCTGTTATTTTCTGAATTTTTCTTCTTTTCTGAAGAGGTTCTTCAACTTCCAAACCTTCACATGTTATTTTTTGACATATTTCTTCTGTTTCATCCCAAAGAGTTTTGAAACTGCTATCATTTCTCTCAGATGATAAGCATTCAAAGATGGTTTCTATTTTTGAAGACAGAGAAAAAATATTCAGAGTTTTACCCTGTAGCTCCTTGGAAAGAATTCTTGTAACACTCAGCACACGATAAAGAAATTTTAAACAAAAGATAAATTCAAATCTGGAAAGTAACGTCAACAAATTTCTCAACTCATCAGCCAAATTTGTGTGTGAGGAGTGGCTTGATATAACTTCGAGGGTTTCAATAATCTCTGGAAGACCCTCAATCACCGATAGCAATGTATGATCATGGACTGCCCAACAAGTCTGTGATGAATGATTCTTGCATGTCTTGTTTTGACTTAGGTTACAAATATTTTGAAACTTTGCCACCATTTCCCCTGACATATAAATAGTGCTGAACAAAGCACTAAGAGTGTTTAGAGTACTTCGAAATTCGTTTACTTCTTGACAAAACCTAATGACTGCTAAATCCAAAAAATGTGCATAGCAATGCATGTATACAGCTCTTGGCTCTTCCTTCTTGAATTCTGCTGCAATTTTATTGAATTTTCCCCTTAAATTAATGGTACTATCATAGCACTGGCCACGCATGTTTTTCACATCAACTCCAATCTGCTGCAGGTAAGTTTTGATAATCTTTTGTAAGTTGGGTTCAGGGATCTCTCCAGTATCAATAAAACCCAAAAATCTTTCTTTTATTAAGATAGTCTTTGGTGTTTTTTGTAGGTATCGTACACAGATCGAAAGCTGTTCTTTAGTGCTACTATCAGTTGTTTCATCACATATGATAGAAAAAGCGGAGGAAACATTGATCTCATTCACGATTGCCTGTAGCATTTCAGCCTTTATAATTTCAACAATTTCACTTTGAATTTGCGAGCTATTATAGAAGTCAACTTGTGAGCTCATCAGTCGAAATGTCCCTTCTCCTTTATCCTTTGCTCTGATCTCTAATAATTCTAAAAAATTGCCTTTATTTATAGATGAAACAGAGTGGTCATTTCCACTGAACGGTAAGCACTGCTTTCCAAGAAATAAAATAGTTTCAATGATAAACTTTAAATAGTTTTTGTTTTCCTCAACTTTTTTTGAATGAATAGAAAAATTATTGATAGCTTCATCACAAAGCTGGTATTTTTTCCAAAATTGCAATGACTTCAAATGCATCTCACTTGTTTCGTGCTTTCTGAATTTTTCCAGAGTTTTTTTCCAATTAGAAATCCCATGGGTAGCACAAGACTCTCCCTCATAGCTTAAAAAATGTTGGCAGTACAATTGGCATGAGTAACAGAAAGTCACCTCCTTTTTACTGCTGCTTTCCAAATGCGGATTTGAAACCTGGGATTTTTTAATACTTTGTGATTTCCTTTTAACTTTTTGATCTTTGGGTGCAAATTTTGAGTGACACAGTCCATCATTTATCTTCATAGTTTTCATATTGTCTTCAGAATCCTGGCTTGACACTCCATCTTTTTGTACATCTACCTCAGAGTCAATTGTGCACTGGCTGAGTCCCGGTGAGGGTGGCGAAAGGCTTGGCTGTTCCCCACTATGATTAGCAACACCACTGCTTGATTCACTGGGGGGACTCTTCGGAGTCTTTGGAAGAAAATGAGAACAAATGAGCAGTTTTCAAATAATCTGTTAAAACACTGAACAGAACTATTCTAGTAACAGTAAAATGAATGGATGAGTTACCTTATGAGCTCCACTAGGGGGAAACACTAATGACTATAACTTTGCTGTCTAGATTTAGCATTTAATGTTCACCAAACCCTTTTAATGTAAAACAAAGTTTTGTTGCCCAGGTGACAAGAATTTTAAAGAACACAGAGGAAATATATGATTACAAATTTGATGACAAACTTGAGACTTGGGAAACAATGTGAATAGCAGACATTACATTCAGAGATTATTTAGTTGGTATATATGTTTTAAGATTTAAGTTGAAAATAGGGATGAATATGCTTAAGCACGCATAAACATCTTGCTTAAACATAAAATAAATGCCAAAGAAATAGTAAAACTTACATTTGAGATGTCATTTGCTGTTACTGGAGAAACTGTATCTGTGAAGTTAATAAGGGCATAAATTTACGATCTTATACTCTCATCTACAAAATAGCATCATAAATTGTAAATGCTTATTGTACAGCAGGAAACAAAAAGTAAGTTAGGATACAGACAGATTTATCAAGCATGGAAAAATAGTGTTTACATAAAATATCTTCAAATCATTTCATACTTTCTAGGTCATCAGAGTGTCCAGGAGAGAGGTCGCCATGAGGATCTGCCAGGGATACTATATTGCTTATAACTGGAGTCGTGTCTTTCTGCAGAGGAAGCAGCTCACTCGAAGCCTCTTGCACCGTGGAAACATTTACTGATAAAAATAGACCAAGCAGAATCAATCACCAACATTGTTAATAACAAATGGTTCAAGGGGCAGTACAAATATCGGATTGCTTTAGGTGGTAGTCTAATCTAAGTAATGCTTATTAATTGGAGTAATACATATTAGGTTTTAGGAATAGCCAGGTTCTTCAGGATAATAGTAACAATATTACATTGATAGTTTATACTTTCTCATAATTTTATAGCTTTTGGCACACCATTTTTCCATCTTTTTATATAGATCACTTAAAATTATAAACAAATTTCTGCTGTAAAATTAGCCAAGGGAAACATAAGCAGTACCTATACAATCTCTTAAAGAGCCCTATTCGCGTAGCATTTATGCTTTGGGCTGCTAATCACCAAGGTCAGCAGTTCAAAACCACCAGCTGCTCCCCAGGAGAAAGACAGGGCGTTTCTACTCCTGTAAAGAGCTACAATCTTGAAAATGTACAGGCTTTCTACAGGGTTGCTATGAGTCATAAGTGACTCTATGGTAATTGAGTTATGCAATCTCTCAATGTGTATAATTTCTTATTCTTCGAGGCTTATAATGGGTATAAACTCTTACTCTTAACAGGTACAGTTCAACCTCGATACCAATGGAGTTAGGTTGGTGTCCATGCTAATACTGAAGAGATTTTCTAATAAGCCAATGGACAAGCTCCAAGTACACTATAGTAAATGTAAAAGGCACCTCTGGTAGTAAAGGAGGCTCTTTTTCTATAAGTGTACTTTGAACTAGATTTACTTTAACAATAATGCTGATCGTTTTACTTTTACAAAGCAGGAGTCAATTGGATAAAATGTTCTATATTTGGTATTATAACAATTCTGTACCATAAATATAAGTGAATTAAACCAATAGATTAACTGAGTGCTTCCTATGCACCCAATCTTGTGGTAGGTGCTCAATAAATATATCAATATAAATCCATTCATTTACTAAAGGATCCAAATAATCGATGACCAAATAAAAGCCTGTTACTCTCAATTCTGACTGGTGGTGACCCCCTATGTTCCAGAGTAAAACTGCTTACTGGTTTTCTTGGCTATATAACCTTTATAGACGCAGACAGCCAGGCCCTTCTAGCACATGGCGACTGGTGGGCTCACGCTGCCAGCTGCTCGGTTTGCAGACAAGCACAAACGGAGCACACCACTCAAGGGCTTAATCCAACATGACATGTGTCTTTCATTTCCCCCTTTAAATATTGCCTTAAAAAAGAAGACACCGGGTATCAAGCTGATACAATAATCTTTACAAATAAATACAAAATTCTCGTGGTGAGAAAAACAAAACACCTAAAAACTGTTCTTTGTAACACATTTTGAATTGTTTTACTTTCAAATCAGTTTTACTTAGAAATAAATCAAGGTTATATATGAAAAACACATAATATTCCTCTTTACTAACTTTCAGTAACTATACCTTTGACAATTGCTAAACAGACAGTACCTGTGGAAGATTCCAGCTTAGCTTTATTGTAAGCAGAAAAACAATTAAGAGAGCAGAAAAGCTCTGTCTTGCCAAAGTCATTGGTGGTCTCAATAATTTCATCTGAGTGCCTCAGTGATTTTAAAGGTACAGGTGGAAGTATTTTGGCTGGTTTCTGTTTAGAAATTAAAATAAGTCATATTTCTGGCACTTGATACATATTTTTAATAAACAAAAATATACCCACTATCACTGCTCATGGTTAAAATATTACAAATAATGTCAATGAATCCCACCCCCTTTTTAAAAATTTTTTTATTTCCTTTAAAAAAAAATCGTTTTATTAGGGGCTCATACAACTCTTATCACAATCCATACATACATCAATTGTGTAAAGCACATTTGTTCATCATTCTCAAAACAGTTTCTCTCCACGTAAGCCCCCCGACATTAGGTCCTCATTTTTCCCCTCCCTCATGAGCCCTTGATAATTTATAAATTATTATTTTGTCGTATCTTGCTTCTCACCCCTTTTTATTAAATACTTTTACTGGGGGCTCCTACACTTCCCATCACAATCCATACACTCATTCACTGTGTCAAGCACATCTGCACACACGCAGCCGTCAGCATTCCCACAGCATCTTCCCTCCACTTGAGCCCCTGAATCCTTTTAAAATGAATCCTTATTTTAAGCACTTTTAAAACAGTAAAAAGGACTATATAGATTGTAAAGGCTATAAAATTAAGGGTATAAATTATTCATCTATTAGAAAATGAAATTTATCAGATATGTAACAATATAAATGCAAGTAATGAAGAAACAGGCCATAGAAAATGTTCGTCATCCTAGGCAATCAAAACTAGATAAATAAACCAAAACTAGTTGCTGTTGATTCCAGCTGATGGAGACCCCATGCGTATTAGGCAGTGCGCCAGAAGTTCTTGGTGGTTGACTTTTTGCAAGTAGATTGCCAGACTTTCCTCCGAAGTCGCTGAGGAGTCATAAGCCTCCAATCTTCTGTTTCGCAGCTGAGCACATTAATTGTTTGGAACACCCAGGTATTCCCAGATGAAAAAACAAAAGACTTATAATAATGAATCTCTTCTCAACGTCAGCTTGGGCATTAATCCAGGACAACCCTGATTGGCGCTAGGAAAACTTAAAAGGAGAGAAATCACGGCTACTCTAGCTAACCTGACCTCCAACTCTACTGTCAGACAGCAGCAGACACGCAGTCAGAAGTGACGGGAGCTCAATAAGCAGTAAGGCGCAAAGGAACAAGACATCAACCAAGAGGCTTCCCCTGTATTCTGTCTGCTGAAACCAGAACCTGGACTAAGTAATAAGATATTAATGGTAATGATGGCATAGCACTGGTTTTGGGGAGCACAAAATGCAAAGATAAATGAAATGATCTGTATGTGAAAGAACTGGCTATGAGCAAAAGAACAAAGAAACAAACAAAAAAGGGTTAATTTTGAAATTTCCTCTTTAACCCTTTATTAATGTGACTTAAGTTTTATATTTTGAAAAATATCTAATAATTCACCAATATTTAACACCAAGCAATGGTGTTATTATCATTAAATTTATCATTCACATCCAAAGGTCAAGTATTTAACATACTCTATTGGGGAGATGTGGCCAAAATACTTCTAACTACACCAATCACCTTTATTTGGGGAGGCAGATTGTTAAAAAAACAGTTAGCTGTTACTATGAATTGAGAGAAAGTTTACAGAGTAGATCAGTTTTCCAGTCAACAGTTCATACCAAACAATCCACTTTTAAAAAGAAAAGGCCGTCTATTTTTAGATTCATAGATTTGGAAACTTCTAATTCTTGGCTACAGGTCTCCAGGATCACTCCCACACAGCATCTCCCAGGAGGAGGAAAGCTCTGAGGGGTGATGGGGCCTGACTTTAGTCCGAGCAGTCCTACCCTAGGACATGTGCTCAATACCTAACCATTCAATACTGGCTTGTAAAAATAAAACAAGCCCTACTTATTGAGTGAAGGAGAAAGAATAAATAGCATTTTTCTTCTCTGCCTTCCACCATACCATTTTGGACCCAATATAGGTTCCTTTCCTGATAGCATATGTTCCAGTAGAAAAGAGGTGGCTCATAGATGAACTGTGCTGAGTCGTCGGTCACTGGAACTCTGATTTTCAGTTGCTTATTTTTAAGAACTTAAAGGTGCAAGTTGGGTGTATCATTTGAACAAATAAGATCTATGAGCCCCATCATGTGAGTCATATTACCAACAGTGCTCATCTCACTTAGTCCATCAAATTGCCTCTGCTCTCCGAAGTTCTCACCCAAGTCTCTCTTATCAGGAGAACAGTTCAGCATTAGTTTATTTCTTTCTATGACTAATTCAGAAAAGGCTTATGACTATCTTGATTCATCTTTTACCTTTCTTAGGAGTTTAAACATAGGGAATTAAAAACACTTATGTCTAGATCTTACAGTAGACTAGTGTTATTTTTGCTAGTTTATTTGTGGTTTACAAACAGGCTTCTACTTATTTGCCTTTCCTTAGTAAAATAATCAGCCTGAGATTCTTTGGGAAAACCTCCATCATTTATCAAGAATTCTTACATAAGAAAAACTACCAGAAGGCTTTTAAAAAATTTCATCTCTACATCACCTTATCATTGTGTAAAGGTGTTCAGATCTATAGCTCCCCAATTTCCTAGCAGAATTACTCATAATCCAATTAGTAGAATCTTGTTTTTCATTTAAACCTTATGCAGTCAATTCAGATGATACTACCTCATGTTAAGTAATCAATCTTTATCCATACCTGCTTACATGCTGTAAGAGTCTTTGAATTATTAAAGTACCGGGGTTGTCCTTCCATCTGGAGCACATGGAATGAGCTAGAGTTTGTATAACAATACACCCCACAGTTCTCACAACAATTCATGACGAGGTTGTTAGCAGAGTGAAACTTTAAAAAGCAGCTATTACTGCAAAGACTATGCTTCACATTCTGGTATTTTACTTCATACTGAATCTAAGAATTAAAAACAGGCAAACAAAAAAAATCAGTCAAAACCTCTGGTAAAAGTAGAATCATAGGAATTGAGTTTATGAATGCTAAAAAAAAATAAAACTTGGAACTTACACCAGTAGCTTTCTGACACATGCTGCATTTGGTTAACATGCTATTACTACATAGAGTAACAGATGATTTTTTCCCTTCATAAGATGAGAGACAAGATTGGCTGCAAAAATTTTTGCTAGCAGTAGTATCTTCCACTGGAACACTGATCACATCCTTTGGATTTAAAATGTCTCTGAAAAGAAATGAAAATGGCACCATTAAACACCTGCATGACAATTACACTTCCTTTTTCTTCCTCAACTAAGTCTCTTACTCAAGCCTTCTCCCTAGCTGTTCTATTTACCTGACAATGTGTAAATAGTAGTAAGGACAACAATCTTAGAAAGAGAAGCCTAAACGTGATATATATATTTCTCTTACATTACGTAATCTTGGAGAAGTTATAATCTCAATGCTAATTTCCTCATCTACAGAGGAGAGATGATAAAAACACCTCTAAGTGTTGTTCTGAGGACCACCAAGCTTATATAGTAGTTGTTGTTGATTTAAAAAAGTGAAGAACAATTACATGTATGAATAACATTAGCAACTTGGAGATCTACAGGAATCCATCTCCAGGACATAGGTTTCAAAGAATGGTCAGCAAACTCGAAGGCTCCTCAAAAATTTTGGGGTCTACAAAGCAAAATTATATTAAAACTAATATAAGATGTTCTTTGCCTGTTTTACTGTGTTGACATTTGAATGGATGGTGAAAAGCAGTGATTGGTAAAAATCCCATTCTCAGCACAAATCAAGGCAGTGACACCAAAATGTACTAGCATGGACTTGCATTACTCCCAAGCGTCCTAGATTTTAAGAATGGTCTATATGAAGCTGTAAAAATGAATAATTTTATTAACTATTGATCCATTCGTATACTTTTCTTGGTGGTCTCATTTAAAAAAAATTGTGTAGTAAGCTGATTGAAATCGGTGAGCTGTGAGACACCATATTAGAAGACAGTAAAAATAAACATGATTTTCTCTTTTAACGTACACCAAAGTACAACTCCTGTCTCAAGTAAAAAGGACATAATGGGAACGTTAGGAGGTGCAATCTGAATTAGCTGGTTTTGGTGTTTTGTTTTGTCTTGTTTTTCACAGAATACATTTTTCTTGAAAGAAAAACCAGCAAACTATTACGCAAAAGTGGAATCTTCTCAAAATTGAACAAAGTGAGACCTGTTACTTCAAAAGATTTTCAAAAAACAAAAACAAAAAAACCCACAATAGCATTTGCTGTCAATGAGAAAATTCGAGCTTTCAAGTGAAATTTGAATTTTAGAAAACTTGTACCTGCCACATTAAGCTTGGACGTTTTATAATCTTAGAAGATTTTTCTGATAAGATTGGTGGTATTATTAACAAATAGGGCTTTAAAAACATGGTAATTTCTGGAAGAGCTGCTCGGTAAACCAATAGGGTTTCTAAGGGCTCTGTAGCACGATGTGACAAAAGTCATCCAGGGATTCAAGGACAAAAGGATCTTAACCTAAAGAGTACAAAAAGTTCACTGATGTGGTTTCAGACTCCACAATGCAACAAAGTTTTTAAGAAACTGCCATTTGTCCTTTGGTACTACACAGAACATTCATAATAATATAAAAAGGATAGGAAAACATCTCTCTCCATTTTTCGACCACAGGCTTAAGAATCCAGATTTTCATCCTAGATTTTTAACCAAAACAACATATTACAACAGATAGGACAAGACAACAGAAAAATCTAGCCAAACACTCAAGAAGTTTATAAAACTAATAAAATGATGCTACTCTACTAAATTTTTACTTAGGAAAATGTGGTTATTTTTCATTAAAGAAATATTATTAGCATGTAAATAACTTTTAGATGAGTTAAATAAATATTCTAAATTTATCAGCTGTTTTAGTTGATAACACACTAAGTACTAATAAATAAACCTACATACACTAAACCTCTCATTTAAAATTTTTCAATAATGAAAAGGGGTCCTGAAACCAAAAAATTGAAGAGCTGCTGGTAGAAGAAATATCAATCTCTAGAACCCTGAGGACAGCAATCTTTCAAGATGATAGTTTTCTGAAGAAATATTCCCAAAATAAATATTATTTTAACAGTTCCACGTTTTTAAGGTATTATGAACTTTCAGCCTTCTTCAATGAAAACAATCACAAGACAATATCATTATCACAGCATCATTATTTTACTAGTTTGAAATATAGCTCTACTAGTCTGGAACAGAAGGAGCCTATGGGATGTGGGGCTCATGGTCTCCAGGAGCAACTGCCTCCTTTGCTATGAGACCAGAAGAACGAGACAGTGCCGCCCAACCATCACTGAGCATTTTGATCACAGATTCTGTGGATGAGTTCTGAACAAAAGAGGTTCAATGTAAGAAAACTAATTCCCCTACATCATCATTAAACCTTCATCCAAAAATACCCCTCTAAAGTCTTCTTCAACCCAAATAGTAGTTTAAATTAACTAGTAATGATTGTCTGCCTTGAGCATGTGCTTTTTAAAATTTTCTTCTAGCTTTATTATGGTGAAGTAGATGGGGGTTTACATTTAACAACGTATATTCAACAACTTATCCAAATAGCTTGTCCTTTAAAAGAATGATCTATATAGGATCAAACTGACAACAGAAAAGCCAGACAGGAATGAGCTGAGGAGACAGAGAGTTTATGCTCACAGGGGAGGGCGTTTTGGAAACAGGGTGAGTATGGTTGTACACCTTGAAGGGCATCACTGAAAAGTACAGACAGAAACTGAGCTGGCATGCGCTTTGTTGGCTCAACACCACCAACAAAATGCAATGATCCAAACTCATTGCCATCAAGTGCATGCCGACTCATAACGCCCCTATAGGATAGGGCAGAACTGCCCCTGCGAGTTTCTAAGACTGTAATGCTTTACGGGAATAGGGAGCCCAGCCTTTTTCTCTCAAAATGACCGGGTAGTTTCAAACTGTGACCCTGTGGTTAACAGCACAGCATGTAACCATTATGTCACCATGGCTCATATCTATCCATCTATAGCTAAAAAGATCGATACTCATAGTACTTGAGTTATGCCACACATGTATTTCATCTGACAAAAATGGCTCTAGAATTCACACAGGCCTTGGGCATATACAGATGAGTACAAACTGGTCTCCATGGTCAAGGGGCTTGGGCTTACAGGGCAATACAAATATTTAACAAACAATATATTATAATCAATGAATTATGAATACAATACTACAGAACAAGTAATTGTTGGTGGTAAAGGGGATGAGAGAAATAGTAGGGGAGTAGATAAAAGGAAAAGATATTTAAAATAGACTTTTGAGAGAAATTAGCCACATAGGAAGGGAAGCAAAAGAAACACTGTTATAGACATGCTAAATTATTGGCTTCTAATCTTATTGTTAGAAATGCCTAAAATTAACTTAGCACAGGCCTGAATAAGTGTCTTATTGAGTTTTAATGTATGAGATTATTTTTATCTCAACTGAATATGCTGGTTTAAAAAATATGTTGGTTTCAATTGGGATACTTAAAATTCAGAAATGACATTTAAAAAATATTTTACTCCCAGAAAACACACCATTTTGCCACATGATTTAAAATGTCACCCTTAAAGCAATCTTTCTTTCATTTGACTTGTGAAATAAAATAAAAACTGCATTAATCCAAAACAAATTTAAAATGATTTATTATTGACAAGCGGCTTTAACAAAGGCTCAAACATAACAATTATGAGGATGGCACATGATGGGGCAGTAGTTTGTTCTGTTGTACATAGTTACAATGCATTGGAATACTCAATGTTGCCGAACACATTGTAAAAACATTGCAGCAACATAAAATTAACTAAAACCTCGAGAATTATAGATTAATACCCAAAGGGCCTATGACTATGGAATAAAAAGAAGTTCTGGCAAAAGCACAAATGGCTTTTCAGTGAGCAGCCTCTCAGCCTAAGTAGTACCGCTGACTTTTTATCAACATACAAAATAGTTTTATCAAAAAGAATTTTATTCCAGAATGAAAGCTTGACTTACACTTCTGCTCATATTGGGTTTCCTTTCCCTTGAGAACAGTTTACTCATAAATCTTCCCTGCTTCAGCCTTTTCAATCTGTTTGGGAGACTCACTAAGGATACATACAGGGAAAACTCTAAACATAGCAAAAGAATACATTAACATCTCAAGATCTCAGCAAAAGCAAAAGAAAAGGTTGGGGATGTATGATCTCTAAGGTCCTTTCCACTGATATGATTCTGCAGAGAGAAAGGAAGCGAAGTAAAGAGGACACCGTACAACCCAGAGCAAAAATGAGAAAAGACACTGTAATAGTAAAGGCTTGAGAAAGTGAGAGTGTTGAATTTCAGTGACAGTACTTTGCAGCAATGGACCACACCTGAACCAGCAGCCAAGCCAGAAGCTGAAGTACATGGGAAACTAAGGAACTGGATGAGAATGTAAAAGGCCAAATTCCCTATGCTCGTAATTACAGGGTCTAGAAAGCTGACTCTGGTGGGGGAAGGCCCTCACGGTTATGACATAAATAAATCTTAACGAACATTCTCATGACTGAACACAGTCCCTCTAATAATCCCTCATATAGGAATTGTCATAAAGGAGCTACCAAAAAAGATGAATCATTCCTGCGTTTGGCTATTAACTATGCCTGAAGGTTATCTGTAGATAAGAGCTATCAGGTTATAGCCCAACCCATGGTAAAATGTAGCACGCCCTCTTATGATGTCTCTTTCTGATAGGGATCATAGATTGATCCCCTGGAGAGGACTCAGGGGCATCCAAGGTCAACTAGCACTAGGTCAAGATGCTGACTCACTTCATTGCCTGTGTAATATGTTCGCTGTATTACATGTATGCCTTTTGAAAGGTCTGTAAACTTTGTGATTACATATACCCATTGGAAAACACATCCACTCTTAGTTCCAACATAGGGACAAAGAGCCCCTGTGCCCACTTTGTCGTTCTATATTATTTTCCACAATTGCCTAGTTACTCCTAAGGACCCATTCGACTGTTGGGGGCCAGTACACCAACAGTAGTATCCAACTTAAAAAGGTTTGTGAGTTTAAAATAGGTCTTGGTGGGACCAGAGAGTCTGCAAACTCCGAGGTGAAGCTGCTACACTAACTACTCAAGAATCACATTTTGGGTGACAAAATATAACTGCCAATGGAGGAAGCAAGATTCAAATTATGGCAATCAGATTCCAAACCAAGACATTAACCAAACCAAACCGAACCCACCGCCATCAAGTTGATCATGATTCATAGTAACTATAGGGTTTCCGAGGCTATAAATCTTTCTTTTTCCTTTTTAATAGCGCTTGAAATAAAAGTTAGACATCCATAGCTGAAATTAACACATTCTAAAAATTACCTTCTCCTATTAATAGGAAGACCATTTTCTATGCATGTATTTGGCATAAACTCAACTCAGGATTAATTTGTGATGTTCACTTACAACCCCCACCCCCCCCAAAAAAAGCTAACAACTGAATCATCTAGTTAATAAAAATTACAAACTCAGGTACATTAACATAATATACAGAAAATTATGGCCCTATTAATGCACAAGAAATAGAGTACCTTTTAATGAAAAAAAAACTTCAGTACTCTTGTTCATTAATTTTTTTTCTCTTGTTCATTAATTTAGCCTTGTATTTTTTCATTTTTTACAAAAATAATATCTACACAGTATACAGGGTTCTACATTAGTTTTTTTTCCTACATTAGCTTTTAGTTTTCCCATATAAACATTACACATCCTAAAATGGTGTCACTACCTGAAGTGAAAAATCAACACAGCAAAATTAGCAACTTTACAAAAAAAAGATACAGGCTCCGAAACATGGTTTCTCACTTCAAACTTATGAAACCAGTTGAATCACTTTTAGGGATGGCCTAATAGGTTTGAGAAACAAGTTATTGGAGGAAAAAGCTCAAAACAAATGCTGCCATTTACAAATTAACCTATAGTTAGACTTAATTGGACACCAGCTAGGTGTACATTTAGGACAGGGAGGGGGGATTCCAATGAAATACTAAATTACGTAACAAGTTCAAAGCACCTGAAAACCCGACAGTATCACCTTACAAAATAAGATTATACCATTGGTTGAAGGAGGATCTGACATTAGGAAGATCAATAATCCATCTAAATGCTGTGTTTAATAAGCAGTGTCTATCTACAAACTTATTCAACAAAGGGTAAGGGAGTTGTGGTAGTAGTAATGAAAAAGCTTAAATGAGTAGCAGCTATGGGCAATTCCTTCAGGTTCCAGTCTGTTGACGTCATGGTGACACTGGGGTGCTTCCTTACTCGTCTAACAAAATAAGCTCTTGTTAAACTGCTGCCATCTCATCTTCTGGTCCTCTTTCCTGCTCAAGTTTTCATTCTTTTGTGCTTTTTTCAAAGCTTTCTTCTTTTTATATTCACGATGCTGGACAGGCTTTTTTTGGACATGGGCTTGGTGCCATGGTCCTCCTTTGCCTATCTGTCCTCTTCTACAGGCTCGAGGTTCAGCAGTGGAGGTACACACCTCAGCAGCACGGCCACAGCCAGCAAAGGTGAGTGCGGCGGTGCCACTGTCTTCATCTGATACTTCAATCTCCGCTTCATAAACACTACCTTCACTCCAGGTAGCCATACACTTGTCTCCTACTTCCCATGAGTGAATGGGCAGGATACACACAAAACTGTTGGAGCTTTTAAGAGTTCCAGAAGGTTGAGTTGAAAGGAGGCCTTTGATTAGTAGTATAACATCTTGTAAATCTTTTTCCAATTTTAGCAAATCTTCACTTTCTCCATTCCACTTGCTTGCGTTGAGCTTTGTAGCGTTCCAGGTGCTTTGCTAGATCCTTTAACATCGTGTGTGGGGCTGGGGTGGTGGGAAAGGGGCCGTGTGATTAAATCCACTGGTGGGAGCAGCAGCAGCAGCAGCAGCAGCAAGAGAAACCTCCACAGGGTCGACATGGCTATAAATCTTTATGGCACAGATAGCCTCATCTCTCTCCCTTGGTGTAAACCACTGACCTAGTTGTTAGTAGCCCAACATGTAACAATAGCTCCACCAAATCTCCTTAACCAAAACATTATTTGAAAGGAATTAATTTAGAAGCAAAATTTAATCTTAGCATGATAACTAGCACTTAATGCAGCGGTTCTCAACCTGTGCGGTGCAACCCATTTGGGGGTCGAACGACCCTTTCACCGGGGTATCCCGATTCGCAACAGTAGCATAAGTACAGTTAACAAGTAGCAACGAAAATAATTTTATGGTTGGGGGGGAGGGGTCACCATAACATGAGGAATTGTTTTAAAGGGTCACGGCAGAGTGGCAATACCGGGAGGGTGGAGTAGAAAGAAGGAACTGATTACAGGGATCTACATATAACCTCCTCCCTAGGGGACAAACAACAGGAAAGTGGGTGGAGGGAGACGTTAGGACAGTGTAAGATATGACAAAATAATAATAATTTATAAATTATCAAGGGTTCATAAGGGAGTGGGGTGTGGGGAGGGAGGAGAAAAATGAGGAGCTGATACCAAGGGCCCAAGTAGAAAGCAAATGTTTTGAGCATGATGAGGGCAACAAAAGCATAAATGTGCTTGAGGCAATGGATGGATGTATGGAGTGTAATAAGAGTTGCATGAGGCCCCAATAAAATGATTAAAAAAAAAAAAGAAAAGAAAAGGTCACGGAATTAGGAAGGTTGAGAACCACTGATTGAATGAGTATTAACAGCCTAGAATTATATTACTAGAGAATTTTCAAGGACTACGTATCTCAACGTAGTTAGTGGTAGAAGTTCTCAACAATTTTCACCTGAGTGAAGTCAGTACTTTCTTTCTTTGCATCTAAACTGCCTTACAAAATGTAAAATAGCCAAAAAGACCTTGTATGGAAATCACATACACAGGTTTATTTAGGACTATTCAACTTTTTGAAGGAATTAAAAAGCTTCTTGACTATTACAAGAGAAACATTGTATTTAATACCTTTCAAGTTCTAAAATAAATGTCAGAGGATTTATTTTTGAGTAAATGTTGCCTACAAGTTAAAATGATAAAATGGGCATACAAGGGAGCTTCAAAAAGTTCACGGGAAAATGGAATTGGAAGATAATTGAACTTTTCCCTGAGCTTTTAATGCCCCCTAGTACATTCACCCGTCACTAAACTCTCACTGCCAACAAATCAATGCCAACATATAGCGACACTAATGGGACAAGGTAGAACTGCCCTTTTAAGTTTCGGAGGCTAGATCTCTTTACGGGAGTAGAAAGCCCCATAGTTCTCCAATGGAGTGATTGTTTTTAAACTGCTGACCATGAGGATTGCAGCTGAATATATAACCACTATGCGACCAAAACTCCCCTAAAAAACTCAGTGACATCTACACAATTCTGACTCATATCAACCCTATATGACAGGCTAGAACTACCCCTGTGGAACTGCCCCTGTGGTTTCTACCTGAGAATGTAGCTCCTGATGGGAGTAGAAAGCCTCATCTTTCCCCCAAGGAACAGTTTGTAGTTTTGAACCACTGACCTTGCAGTTAGTAGCCCATGTTCATCCCACCTCTAGATAATTTCAATGGAAAAGAACAGGAAAACATGGTTTGGAAAGTCACATGATTTAATGCAAAAAACAAAACAGAAACCTGAATTCTTCATACTATAATTTATGAAAACCTCTCAACTAATCAGTTTTTTTCTTCTGAAAAATCTCTAAGAGGAGCTGAAAGCAGCAGCAACTTCGTTTCAATAAAGCAAGGTGATGCTTTCAGAAAAAAGTGAAAAATAGAAAATAATAGCCAAGATTCTGATCAAGAACAAGGTGGGCAAGTAAAACGGGTGTACTTAAGAATTATATACCTGGAGCAGTTTGAGCAAGTTTTCCTGGGAGGAGCCAGCACACTGGCCGATGAAATGAATTCAGTGATGCACGCTGTGGAGCAGAAAAGCTGAGCAGACTCTTTCCTCTGATAAGCAGTTTGCCCTTTCTGAAGAACCTTTTTACAACCAAAACAGGAAACCTGAATAGCTGTGGTTGAAATTGAAGGAAGCATTTTGTTCATGCCAGATGATGCTGGAGAAAGCTGGATGCCAGTAGTCAACTGAAAAGCTATAAAAACAAAATAGGAAGAGAAAAATTAGTATTCACATAAAATTAAGTATGCACTCTCTGACTTTCTTTTAGAGGTAATTCTCCTGGACTTGAGATCCAATACAAACAACATTCAGAACATTCTGAAAAAAGTAGACTATACTGGCTTGAGCAAATAGAATTAACTAAAATAATGCTGTTACCACTGTCTGAAAACGTAGTGTTCACTTTCATTTCACACTCCTGAATTTTGGGCTGTTGGGCTTGAAAATATTCCTAAAAAAGAGTGATGAAAATAATCAGTTATTCCACAGAAAGTGATAAATTACGCTCGTATACTTAGTGAATTCAATTGACATGGTAGATAAGTAAGCACTACCTTTGTGGTACCTTTGGTGGATAGAATCAATCATTAGGTTTATCATACCCAGACATGACCTCAGAGATCTTTCAACACACTCCCTCATTAGCCAGGATCACAAGCAGAAGAAATACTTAATGATACATCTCTTTTCCCTTATTGTTCTTAGCATTAATGGCCAACTGTCTTCCTAAGGCTCGAAACACACAAATTTTTTCAGAGCAGCAACAACCTCCCAGTCACCAGATCTAAATCTGATTGATATGCTTGAATGATCATGGGTTGAAAACCAATGCCTATTTGTCAATCAACAATAAAAAAAAACAAAAACCAATGCCTAGTTCTTAGATGGATAACATTCCCAGTTAATACACTTAGAATTGGACCGACAATTTCACCATCAAATAGCAGTCATAATCTTTTAATACTGATCTACTTTAGGCTATTTCTAAAACAAAATAGTCTGATTGACTTTTTACTGGTTCACCCACAAACATTCCAAGGAAATCTGTCCCTACTACCAAAGACTCACAGCTAGGGCGAGCTTATCCTTTATAGGTGCTTTAGCATGTGAAGTCTGTAAGAGTTTAATCATGTTTAAGTATAAAACTAATTTGAGTTTTTTAAAATATAAAGACCAAGACCTCAGGGACATAGCAAAAGCAGTACTCAGGACAATTTATGGTAATCGATGCGCACATTAAAAAAAAAAAAAAGAGAACCAAAATCAACACAGCCTAGCATCGTCAATATCTGGAACAAGAGCAACAAACTAAACCTTCAGTCACCAGAAGAAAATAAATAAGTAGAGCAGAAATACTGAACTGAAAAATAGGAAAAAAAATCAACAAGACAAGAACTGACAAATTGCTGGCAAACTTAACTAAGGGAAAGATTCAAAAATTAAAAATAAGAGATGAACAAGCAGTGACATTACAAAAAAACCGAGTGAAGTAAAAATAAAACAATATTATTAAAGGCTGTACTCCAAACAAATTTGAATACTTACATGAAATGGACAAATTTTTGGAAACTCAAGATCCACACAAATTAACTCGGACTGATGTGAATAGAAAACCTCAGCAAACTCATGAGAGAAGCCACAGATCAGGTCATTAAAAAAGGACCAACACAAAAAAGTCCATGGCCAAAGCATGAAGAAATGCCCTTCAGTCCAAAACCTGAAGAAATGGCTTCATCAGGGAATTGTACCAAGCACTCCAAGAAGAGCTGGTAGCAATTCTACACAAACTATTCCAGAATATAAAGATGACAGCAAACTCCTAAACTCATTTTATGAAGCTGCCAAAACTGATACCCAAACTAAGCAAAGACATTACCGAGTTAGAAAACTACAGACCAATACCCTTATGAAAGCAGATGCAAAATAAATAATAAAATAAAATTAAAAAAGGAAAGTAGATGCAAATTTTTTCAACAAAATCCTGGCCGATAAAATCCAACAATATATCAAGACAAACAAAAACCCCACCATGATCAAGTGGTATTTATACCAGGCACCCAAAGATGAGATGGTTCAACATTTGAAAAACAATCTATACAATCCACCATGTAAACAAAAAATAAGAAACATATGATCATATCAATTGATGCAGAAAAGATATTTGACAAATACAACATGCATTCCTGATCAAAACACTCAATAAAATAGGAATAGGAAAAAAAGTAATAGAAAGGATATTTCTCAATACAATAAAGGCCATATACGCAAAACCAATGGCCAACATCTCACTCAATGGAGGAAAAACTGAAAGCATTCCCCCGCAAATGAGAACCAGACAATAATGCCCCTTATCACCACTCTTCATCAATATTAGGCTGCAAGTCTTAGCCAGAGCTATTAAAAATCAAAAAGAAATATAAAAAATCCAACTTAGCAAAGAATAAGTGAAACTCTCTTTGCAGATATCATTTTTATATGTAGAAAAACCCAGAGACTCAACAAAAAATTGTGGGAAACAAAAGATTTGGCACCATGGCAGAATACAAGATTAACATACAAAAATCCAAGAAAATAGTATCATTTACAATAGCTATACAAAAGATGAAATATTTAGGAATAAGCCTAGCCAGAGAAACAAAACTTATTCAAAGAAAACTGCAAAACAGAGAGAGCCACATTAATGGAAGAATCCCATGTTCATGGATAGGAAGGCTCAATATTACAAAAATGACAATACTAACCAAAACAATGTATAAATGCACACAATTCTGATCTAGAGCTCAGCTACATTCTTTAAAGAAATGGAAAAAGGTAATTACTAACTTCATATAGAGACCCAGGACATGCAATGAACTTCTTAAGAACAAAGAAATAGGAGGCCTCTCACTTCCTGATTTTAAAACCTATTGCATAGCAATGATAGTTAAAATAGTGTGGGTCTGATAAAATAGATACACAGACCAATGGCACAAAATAGAGTATCCAGAAACAAATGCAGACAACTGATCCTTGATAAGGACCAAAAAACATTAAATGGGGAAGTAGTAGTCTAACAAATGATGCTGGCAAAACTAGATCGCGGTCTGTAGAAGAATGAAGCAGGACCCACACCACACCCTATGTACAAACACACAATCAAGATGTAAATCCCAGAGCTATAAAGATAATTAATGAGAAAATATGGACAAACTTAAAAGCCCTATTGCAGGGTCCAGACACAGTATCATATATAACAAAGGAAATACATGCAACAGAAGACAAAATAGATGAGCAGGGCCCACTAAAAATAAGACATTTGGATGCATCAAAAGGCTTCAACAAAAGAATAGAGAGGAAAAAAATAACGAGAACCCATATAAAAGAATAATTTCTACATAGAAAACTTTAAATACTTCAATATAAAAAGACCTCTTTCCGTCTCCTGAGGCGGTAGGGAGAGGAGCCGCCGCCACGTCCGCGCATCTGCAGTGGATGGTCCTGCGGAACTGCTCCAGGTTCCTGATCAACAGGAACAAGCAGACCTACAGCACCGAGCCCAATCACCTGAGAGCCGCACCTCCTTCCGCCACAACGGGCTGACACACCGCAAGACGGTGGGCGTCGAGCCCACGGCGGACGGCCAGGGGGTTGTAGTGGTCCTGAAGCGGAGGTCAGGCCAGCGGAAGCCGGCCACCTCCTACGTGCGGACCACCATTAACAAGACCGCCGGGCCACGCTCAGCAGCATCCCGCACATGATCCGCAAAAACAAGTACCGCCCGACCTTCGTTCGCATGGCTGCCATCCGCAGAGCCAGCGCCATCCTCCGCAGCCAGAAGCCTGTGATGGCGAAGAGGAAGCGGACTCACCCCACCAAGAGCTCCTGAGCACCCCTCGTCCACAGCAATACAGAGAACTGCCCTCCAAAAATAGGAGAAAAAGACAAAAAATCCAATTGAAAAATGGGCAAATGGCATGAACAGTTCACCAAAGACGACATTCAATTTCCCAATAAACATAAGAAATGCTTATGATCACTAGCAAATTAAAGCAATGATGAGATACTACCTTACACCGACAATGACAGCCAAGTTCAACTGGCTGTGGAGAACTGTCATACACTGCTGGTGGGACTATAAAAATGTGCAACCTCTGTGGGAAGTGATAAGAGATACCTCAAACAACAGGGAATAGAAAGTCCATAGGATCCAGCAATTCTTCAGTGTACCCATGTTCATTGGAGCAGAAGTCAGCAACAACTTACCGGTAAATACCCATCATTAACGACTGGATAAAGAACCTTTGGTCCATACAACAATGGAATACTACGCACTGATAAAAAAAAACTGACAAAACTATGAAGCACCTCATGGCATGGCTTCTCAGAGAACATTATGCTGAGTGAAATCAGTCAATTACAAAAGGATAAATATTGTATAAGACCAGTTATTTAAACATACACACAGAAGGAAAAAAATCCAAGACAAAAAACAGGGAGGGTAACGGGAGAAAGGGAGAAGTCTG